TGATCAGTTATTACCTGCAACTGTAGCCTTGTAGGCCAATCCTACCCCACAGATTCCATTATCAGCTGCTCCAGCTATGATACCAGCACATCTATTACCATGACTGGGAAAGAATCACAATTGAGAATAAGATATTTGTAGATGTACATGGTAATACTTTGGTCAAGTTTTTCCCCCCATGATAGCAAGGCGGTGGTTCACTATGATTTAGTTGCAAGATGATACATCACATGTAGTTTGACACCAACTAAAGGAATTTTTTTGAAGAATACAGATTGAACCACCCAAAAGCCTCACTACCAATTTGATGATATAAGTTTAGAAATAGGGGTGACTTAAAATAGGCATAACCTTTGTGCATGGGTTCATCAAGGAATTTTGATAGATGTGTCCAAACTTAAAAGACAATTTTTTTACACTACATGTATAGTCTAGTAAACAAGTTAAGAATTATTACAAGACAAGCAAACTAAGAATATTTTATATTGGCTAATAACATGCAATCCTGCTGTTGCAAGAAATTTGGTGTCAGACATTTCTTGAAATCCAAGGCCTGGTGGGAGGGGAGCAGGCCCTCTCCCCAACCCTTTTCTCTCTCTGATTCCACCACTTCATGAAGACTCAGGTAGCACGTTTAAGTGTATTTTTGAAATTTAAGGTACACTTTTTCCACAATACTGTCCAACAAAGCCATTTATGTGCACTTACCCTACTCCTTTTTTCTCTGAAGGATTTACATCATTACCATCCACATAATCATAACTTAATGTTAAGTTCTTAAATGAAACAAAACAAAGTCAATAAATGATAAAAAAGTTACACATGAATATATAGGTTAGAATAATCATAGCTCTAAAGCTGGGGTCAGATGACTTAAGCTATCAAGCCGCTAATGATGCCATAAACAATGATGGCCTAATGATGCATCGCAGCACAATCACAGTCCTTTCCTTCCCAATTATCATACCATTACTTCCTACAAAATTCTCACCAACTGCCATTCACTATAATGTCATATGTTAGTTCTGAGAAAGCAGAAACACCATACAGTAACTGACTGCAAGTTTTGATGATGCAATTTGGGAGTTCTGATTGACTAAAAGCCACCTGGATAAGTCACTCCAACATAGCTACATGTATGTATTTCATCAAATAAAGAGTTTTTCACTCCTACTAGGCCGTCAATAATTAAAAACAATGATTTTGTGAAATAATGTATTTACATAGTTGGGTGATAGTTCAGGAAGACTGCCATCAACTCCATCGTCAACCACTGCCACCCAAATTCCTTTCCCTGTGTAGCCTGCTTTCCAAGCTGACAAAATATTGTATGTTGGCTCAGTAGATCCAGCAGGCCTCTTCTAATAAAGAAAAAAAAAACAGCTCCTTTAAAAAATATTGTTCATATTTGAGACATTATATCGTAGACACTAAAGGGATGTAAAATTGTTAAATTAATGACCTAAACTGGTTTGAAAGAGAGCAAAAAAGCTATAAGAAGGAACTTACAATGTACCACTGCTCATCAAACCTTGGATCACTCAAACTTTTGGAAAAAAGTTCGTACTTTTTCTCTTTCTGGTGCATAAACCATTCTACCTGTAAATGATAAAGAAATTAAGTAAACATAAAAACTTATTTTTAAGGCTTAAGAAAAAGGGCTGTCAAAAAATTTTGAAATAGCACCAAAATAAGGAAATAGAGAAGGCCACAAAGTTCTTTCGTCAATTACATGCAAGACTGAGAACTACCTAGAGAAAATGTTCCAATATCCAGCTCAAAGAAGCAAATTCTGAACATGGAATCAATTCACACATCTGAACCTGTTACTGATAAATTGTGTCTGGAGGTTGCTGTTTTGTCCATCATCCTGATATGATTTAAGAAGCATCTACACTTGGTGGGTTTGTTGAGTACAATGGTAGGTGACTATCAAAATTCAGGTCCAAATACTCAGCCCTTATCAATATTGCCAAATTATTGTGATGATGATTTACCTGTGGTTCAAATTCCAGCTTTCTGTCAATCTCTAATGATAATTGGGTCTTAACTGACCTGTTCTTCAACTCAGGTCTTTTGAAGACATGGTAATCCTGAAAGAGCTGAAGACATGATAAAATATCAAGATTAAAACTGTCATCCCAGTAATAAATTCCTCTTATTAACTGAGTTCAAAGTCTGTTCTGTAAGTTATATACTATGTTTTTTCCACTTGGTGCAAGTGCAAAGTAAGTGCAAAGCAAATAAATCTGTGTGCAAAAACAAGGTTCTGTAACTCACGGTATGGACAGAGAACACAAGGTTAATCAAAAGTATAACAAAATTCTCAAACATGATAAGGTATCACCAGGCTGATTTGAACATTAATAGGACAGTATATGCACCATGCTTGTAATTGGACAGTGTAAAAGGGTAATTGACACATCATGCCTGTGTAAGTGAACAGTGTGTGTGCATGCACATGTCTTGCATTTTGCCTAATTAATTGTTGCATTTTTATGAAAAACATATAATTGAAGTATAGTTTCTTTCTCAGATTTTGTCAGCGTCTAGCTTAACCGGTAACATTAACAGCACTTCTTGTCATCCAAATCAGACTCCTGCTTCA